CTTTATTCAAAATAGCCTGCATTTCTCTGACTCGCGCTTTCTGAAATATGAGATTTTATCGTCTTCTCTTAGTAAATGTTTATTTTGAAGTCTAGATGCCAAAATTTCGGAAATATCCATGGGCGAGTCTATAACTAATGCCGCGTTTGAGAATCCACATCGGATGCATTTTTTACATCTCGAGCGTTTTTTTATCCACATCTGACACATCTGTCCCATTACATTTACGTATATTGAATCACGTGATCAAAGATTTACTACATCTCAGATGCATCCGATGTGGATTCTCAAACGCGGCATATGTCATTAAGTTCTGATTGAGAAAATAACTGTGGTTGCTTAGAAACACTCGAAATAAAACTAACATCACTAAGGTTTTCTTCAGGTTAAGAAAAACTGATTGTACTTTCTTGTAAAATGGCTGGACTCTCAGGTATTGGCACGTTTGGGCCATGTGGCTCTGGCCTAATTGCAGGCTTGAGGTTCGAAAAACAATGTTTTTAAAATTTTTGGTGTTATATCCACGAACGTTACACATGCAGAAATAGTAGTCATGGTGATTTTGTTGGCTCTCTCCATATCATGGTAATACGAAAGGTAGGGATCAGCTGGTTCCATTACTCCAGTGTCTTAAACCTTCTTCACATATTTTACGAACCATATGTGGCGCCCATAAGCGAACGCAAACACACGATAACGATAAACGGCAGTGTTGCCGCAACCAAATATGTTGATGTACCAAACAAATTTGCTAAAATTCTGAATATGTACAAAATTCATATATAAATGCCTTTTGCTTTCAAAATATAAATACAATAAAACAAATATTACATTTTTGGTATAATATAATAAAATTGCTTTTAATAAGAACAATTTATACAGTGTGTCCAATTAAGTAGGAACCATATGTGAAACTTGTTTATTTTTAGTTTTATGAAAAAGTAATTCTTTATAAAAAGTTCTGCTTGGTCTAAAACTTAAAATGCAACCATCAGATATCATTTTTTAAAGCTGTGTAAGGAGTTTTCTCGCCACAGAGAAAACGGTTCCTTACGAATGGCGCTGGTTACGGGCGGTTCTCGATCGCCAGATATTTGGTAATGGTTTACTCCACAAACTCTCGAAACGTCGTCGAAAGTACTCGGGTAGCTACAGATGGAGATGAAAAATTCCAGGGGTCAAAGGTCACTTAGACACAGGTAATAGTAGGCCACAAGTAACGGGCTTTAATCGTTGCTTGGGCTGGTACAGAATTTATCACTAGCTGAAATATAAGGGGGAAATAAAGTAGGGAATTATTAACCAGTAATACGGCAGGTTAACATTGACACATATATTGTGAATAACTATTTACACAAAAAAAAACGAAATTAAATATTTCAACGCCCACTCCAGTTGTGGTGATAGTCAATATAACCCTGAACAAAAAAAAAAACAAAACGGACGGTATTGACTCGCGATTAGTCTCAATCAGACGTCAAAATTGAATTAAAATAAAATGTACGTTTCGGTCGCAGAGAAAAAAAATATTAACTTGGCTATTTACTCGGTAATTAACTGTGTAACTGTGGTATCGGGAATTAAACTAAAATTTAGGTATTCTACTAAACGGTCAAAGAGAGTGCGAGGAGACAGGGACGCGAAAGAATTTCTTATAGTAAATATACGGAAGGAAGATAAAAATAAATTTATACCCGGGGTAGCCTATTATCCCAGAATGAGCTGATCGTCATCACGAGCCCGCTCAGACAGGGTACTGAAGCTATTTTTGATTTCTGCAATTTGCAGTTTGCACGAAAAAAAAAATGAAGAATATAAAGGGGAAAAGAAAACTAACGCGGATAGCACCTAGTCCAAGAATGAACTGATCGTCATCACGAGCCCGTTCAGACAGGGACAGGATACTATTTAAAGTTATTTAAATTGACGGTAAAAGAGAAAAATAAACTATTATCAGAGGGAAGAAAATTACTAACGCGGATAGTACCTACTCCAAGAGTGAACTGATCGTCATAACGAGCCCGTTCAAACAGGACAGGATAATATTTAATATTATTTAAATTTGCGGTATACAGATTAACTAAAAAAAATTATAACGCGGATAGCATTTACTCCAAGAGTGTGAACTGATCGTCATCACGAGCCCGTTTAGACAAGGACAGGATGCTATTTAAGATTATTCAAATATACGGTAAAGGAATAAACAAACTATTAAAAGAGGAAAAACGTCTCCTCGAAATAGAAGTCAAATTTAAAATCTTTTAACTCAACAGTAGTTATAAAAAAAAACGGTACGATTTGTTAAGAAACGAATTCTATTATTTATTAAGGAAATCAAATTAAATCTTTTAACTAAACACTGAATGAAAATGTTTCTATTCCTACAAGCTAATTCGGTTTTTCAAGTGAAATACGGTGTCAATATAAAACGTAAAAAGCGGAACAAGGTTTTTTACCTAACGGATTTATAAACACGATAAAGAAATTAACGACGGTGAATTGATTAGAGAATGCGGCTTATTAGTCTCGACTGCTGGCAAATCTTATATCGAACTGATAATTTTAATCTCGGGTCTCGTTCAACAACTGTAGATTCCCTTTCCCATTAGAAACTCCACCTACGCTCAGACCCACCGCGCAACGAGATCTCGAGCGGCGTTCGCGCATGTAAATTGACTCGGGCCCAACAGTTCAACCGCGTTTAATATTTATTAAAAATGAAAATAAACTGATTGAGGAAAATTGACTTCATTACATCCGCGTTTAATATTTATTAAAAATGAAAATAAACTGATTGAGGAAAATTGACTTCATTACATCTGTTTACAAGGTTTGTCAAAAAATATGAATATGAAGAGTAAAGTATCGTTATTTTTGACACACCTCGTATACTACTAATAAAATTTGATATATGATGGTTGTATTTTAGGTTTTAGACCCATGCTCGACTTTTTAAGAAGAATAACTTTTTTCCTAATATTAAATGGCTACATTCAGCAGAAAAAAATCTGACCGGGATCTGTTTCAGATCAATTTGCAACAGTTTTAAAGTCTGCTGAACAGTATTTTTTTGCGTTTTGAGCATGAAACTGTAGTGACATTTATTAAAGTCATGTAACTAACCTCTAAACTCCAAATTTATGATTTTATCCATTTTATCTGTGGATCGTGTGTAAAGTAAAATATAAGAGGGTATTGTGTATAATAGCAAAAGCAACTATTCTAAAGAAAGCTTGAGTGACACAATGGAAGGCAATATTTTAATGGTCGCCCTTCACAATATCTTAAATAATATATTATTGTAAAATTGACGGGACCTTCATTCACTACTAGATGCTTTTCTTTAGCAGTCACCTGAACTTTGAAAGTTTGATCGAGATCTAGGTCAAATAACTTTAGAACTTCCATGTTTTAAATCGGCACCCTCGTCTTTAATCTATTTTTAAGTTGATCTTAACTCTTAACCTCAAAAACAGAATACGCAACATGTTTACTAGAAAGGTAGCATAAATTAAATGCGCTCCAAAAAATGGCGACTGATCCGCACATTTGCACAGTGACCCTAATAGCCAAAATATTTTACCGATATTCTATGTTGTTTCATGGCTTTTTTCAGTCCAGTAAAGCAATATCAACTATATCTTTAATTTGAATAGCTTAGTTTAAATATAAAATTGAAATACGGGTCTTGTTTTTTAAATATTCAGAAAGTTTGAATATAGAAAATTCATTATTCCAAAATGTACCCATTTTAAGATTATCAGTCCTAAAATGTACTTGTGTACCATGAGCAAGAAAATGTACCCAATTGGACACATTTGTACCCAAGCGGCAACGCTGATAAACGGACGTTCTTAAAGACATGCCTCCGCGATCCGACGGTTTGACTACAAATGTGGGAATCCCAGAAATTATATTTTACTTTTGTTGTTTCCCTTCTAACGTTTTGTTAGTTTGTACGACATTTAAGCCAGTGGCGTAGCAATTTTTAGAATGTATGTAATGTTCCGGTGCAAAGATTTTTAAAAGAATAAATATGACACCTCAATGATTAATTAAAAAAATGTACGTGATTGAAACAAAAAAACATTGATTTTCTATTAGTTTAGCTCCCAAAACTCCAAAAATATGAAAAATTACAAATCACAAAATCTTTGTTGGCCTGATGTAGGTACAATAATTATCCCATCAAAATGGATTTTAAACAAAGTATGGTATTTTATATGTTTATAACCTTTATACATTTTTCCTCTCACCTATGATAAAAATGTATCCATTAATTTCTTAAACGGTATATTTTTTGTTGGTTGAAAAAGAGAAGGTATGTGAGTAACTTTTTTGGCAAAATAAATAATCATGAAAATAAAATAAGGAATAGAAAAACTCCCAACAAAAAAATATACAATCAAAGTTTTACTAACTATTGAAAAAAATTGGGATAAGTAAACATTGAAAATATACAAGGTACATACAGTAATTTAAATATAAAAAAAATCTGGTTAATTATTGGTCTTTGCCAAAATACAATTATTGTATATCTTTTTTTTTTCCTTAAGGGTTTTGGCTATTAATTTATAAAAGCATAACAAACCATAAATTTTATAGCATATATAGGGTGTCCCGTAAATATACCGTCAATCTTTTAGGGGTGGCAAGGGGACATCCAAATAAACATATTTTGTATAAAAAAATATATTTCCGAAAACAGACTAGGAAAGAGATCAGTCTTAATAGTATTTTGTTAAACTTTATTGAGTTTCAAATTTACCCAAATCTACTTATTTCTATGCACTTCCGGTCCCCTTGTTCTCAATATTATAGTTTTTATCCTAAGCAGTGGATTGACAGGATTCTTATGACATTATTGCATGCAGGTCATGTGTGAGTACAATTCCTTAAACAATGTACTATACCCCTCACCCTTAGATTTATATCGAATAAACGAATATTTCAATATTATTCGCCAGGGGAGACTTAGTGTCACTTTGTAAATCTCACAGATTGTTTCATTACAAGGTATGGGCTATCAGGGTAGACATAAATGTTCTAAACTATGAAGGAAACATTTTAGACTGTGCTTCTATTGCTGCTTTAGCAGCACTAGCCCATTTTAGAAGACCAGATGTTACAAGCGATGGAGAGGAGTTTATTATACATAATGTTCAGCAAAGGGATCCCATTCCAATGGTAATACATCATTATCCAGTCTGTATAACATATTCAGTGTTTAATGGAGGGTAAGAAACTTCTATTCTAAACAAAACATATTTTTTTAGGGTTATATTTTTTTTTTTCAGTGAATTTATAATAGCTGATCCAACCCTGTTGGAAGAAGAAGTAGCAGATGCATTTATGTCTATTGGATTAAATGCTTACAAGGAGTTATGTGGCCTTCACTTAGGAGGAAAAGCAGAGCTAAGTCCTGATCTCATTTTGAGTACAGCTTCAAAAGCTGCAAATAGAGCGGGGCTTATAGTACAGCAAATTAAAGAATGTATCGAAAAGGACACACAACAAAGGTAACAATTTATTGTCTTCGTGTTAATAATGTCTTATCCTTATATTTTTGTTTTAGACTCTTAAGACAGAAACAAAGCTTTAGTATATTAGATATTACAAATGATTCAGTTTCGGGAGATATCGAAGCGCTTTTAGATCCGTGGACTGCAAGTGAAAAGAAACATAAGAAAAAAACTAAGAAAGAGAAAGAACATAGTAATATGGTCGATACAAAAATTGAAATTGATAAACCCACTAACGGTGTAGAATTAACAAAAATTGGTAAATATATTGGGCTTAAAAATTAAAGAGTTGAATATTGAAAATTTTAGATCAAATTTGTAAGTTAGTGGTTATTGCACAATAAAATGGGGTTTTTAGGTGAAGGCACAGTTGCTTTAGTTCCAATTGAAGAGAAAGATGGTACTGCAATATGGGAAGTGAGTGATAGCGATGATGATGATAATGATGAGGTTGTGGTGATAGAAGTACCAAAACCAGTTGGTAAGTTCATAATGAATAAGTTTTAGATTTATAGAGCCACATGGTTTAATCTCTCCTTCCTCATGGGAATTTACGAAACAATATTAGGCATTCCAAACAAATTAACTGTAGGTGGGAAGGGTTGGTATATATAAGGGGTTGCAACATACAATGTCTATCTATATGTGAAATCATGAATAATGGATTAAATTTAAATATTTTATGTCGAACTCAATTTTTTTTGGTGTCTTTGGGCTTTGACAACTTAAGATTATTTAAAAAAAAAACGCTAATATATTTTTCATAAATTGGCACGCTTGGCAACTACTATTTTGAATAAAAATAGCGTCTAAAATGGAAAGCTATGTCCCCCAACTCCCTTAATTATAAGAGCTCTTCCCACTGGCAGCTATTGTTTGACAGGTCGTTGGATGCCTGATTGTATTTTCAATTGCATTATTTTATTTTTTTAGTTAATTTGCTTGATGTTAATACCGATAGTGAAGAAGAGGCAGTTACAATCCTAAATGCAGATGAGAAAACAAAGAAAAAGAAAAAACAGAAACAGAAAAAATAATTTATCATATTTTGTAATTTTTTTATATTATTAAAAAAACATGTTAAATATTCCAAAATAGATTATACATAAACAAATTGCATTTAAAATAATTATTATGCAACCTGCATTAAGATTCATTCCAATTGCACACTTTTTGACACTCAATTGGTGTCATTATTAATACCATTTTTCTGGTCCAGTTTATTTGCATTTGTTTTCACTGTGTAGATGAAAAACGTCACGACTTCTTTTTCTTTCACAGGTATTGTTTTAAAATGCTTCATTAAAGTCTAAAAATAAAAAATGATCAGTTTTATAAATCATTAAATAATTTCCTTAGGTAATATTTAAAAAACGGGGCTCTCATATTCGATGAAAAATGAAGTAATAACATAAACCCTTCAAGTGCTTAATTTTCAAGATACAATGTTTAAAAGTTTCAAATATTGACCAAAACCACACTTCTCACTTTTTATCCGGTGGTGTTCTACAATGGGATGCGGTACCTTAACTCCCCTTATTTTTAGGTCACTGTTTTAATGACAATTATTTTCAGTTTTGAATTTATTTTTCTTAAAATAAAAAAAAAAAAAAAAAAAAATGGAGAACCTTTACCGATGAAAAATCAACAGTTTTCAATTATTTGACATCGTAAAGATTTTCTTTATTATTTCAAATTTAAAATGACATTATATAATTCTATTTATGAACTATTACCTACTTTTATTCGGTCAGAATAGAAATTCTGTACCTAGTAGATCAAAATTTAAAAACGTATATCACAAATTAAGCACCTCAAGCGTTTATGTTTCTAATTTATTTTCCATCAATTTGCAAGAGCTTTGTGGTGGTTGAATATCTAGACACTCTGTATCCATGTCTAAAAGTAACTATGAATATGGGACAGAAGACACACGCCAAGAAAGGAAAGGGTTAACAGTAAGGATGCCTATCTAGATAAGTAACCCTTTGAGTAGTAAATAAAAAATCTCTAACATAATAATTCGCTTTTTTTTTTGTATTTTAAAATTGTAATTATTCAATACATAAAATTAAGTCACTTTTTGCTAAACATTTTTGAATAAAGAATTTCTGTGTTGGAACTACATTTTTTTTAAGTCACTTTTTGCTAAACATTTTTGAATAAAGAATTTCTGTGTTGGAACTAAATTTTTTTTAAGTCACTTTTTGCTAAACATTTTTGAATAAAGAATTTCTGTATTGGAACTACATTTTTTTATTTACTTTATTCTAAACAACGTTGTACTTACCTAGGTATATAACAAAAAAAAATGATGTTGCTTTTTTATTCTACTATAGCTATGATTCCACAAAACAACTTTATTCAGGGTGTTCCTGCCTAACAACCATTTAAGGGGGGTTTTGACAAAATTTTTGCAATTTGGGTTTTTTGTCTTGATATTTAGGTCTCAAAATGGCAAAAAAAATAATTTCTAGTTGTTTTCTTGAAAACTGTTAAGACTTCGAAATTTTTATTTTGGTTACACATTATCTTTAGTCAAATCCTATTTTGTGATGGTTTCTCTTTTTTTCAATTCATGTTTCTAAAGGGTAGAAATTAGCAACCTCTTTTTATTTCTTTCAGAACTTTAATTTAATGAGTAGTGGATGTAATTTAGAAACTTTTTCACTCTTGTAATTTTTTCATATATTTAACAGAACAATAAAAAATAAAAATAATTTATCTTTATGTTTTAATACATGAGAAGCCGTTAAAAAAAAGAAGACCCAAATTGCAAAATTGTATAAGAAACCCCTCTCTTAAATGGTTGAATAAATATTGAAACATCATTACGGAACACCCTGTATATATAAAAAAACATTTTGTAATTATTCAGAAAGGCCAAAGTTCAGTTCACACATGCAACAAAGTGTACATGGGACCTGTTTTCTTATGTTTGGCAATTAAATGAATTTAGTTTATAGTAGCATAGCAAACAAAAATAATAATTATAAATAATTCAGAATAAATCAATAACATTGTTTATAAATGCGGCTAATTAATAATTTTGTTATAATTTTTTATTTCTAAAATAGTTACTCCAATAGAAGACTAATACTTTTTTTTTAAATTAGTCCCCAAATTTTTGGATAATTCGATGGAAGTTTCAGCTTTATATGAATGTATATAAGGTTTAATAATTAATTTTATAACCAAAATATTGGTTAATAAAAACTAAAATAATATCTAAAAAGCTTACATGCCAAATGCTATAACATTATTTTATTAAAATACTAGTGCATTAATGGTATGTTTAAGCACAAACAAGCATAATTCTTTAACCCATTCGCTGCTGACAGCCGACCACTTCTGTAGCTCAATACTGTAAAGGACATCGAAAGACCTTGTTCGCCTACTACTACAGACGCGGTGTCTGCAGCGAAAGTGTTTAACAAAAGCCGTGTCTATTCATCGGGGTATAAAAAAATATACTATTCGATGGAGTGTGTTACTCATGCTTATTATCTGCCTTGAAGAGTATAATAATTCTGTTCTAAACATTTTATTTTGCAAATAATTAACATTAAAACAGTTTACTATCATTGTAACTTGTCATCAAATTGATGTTAGATAACCATAGGGGAAAACTTAGTGTAAGAACTACGTTCCAATCATATGAGGTAGTGATTTTACTGAGGCCCCCTATCTATAGGGTCTCAGTATTGCATTTGTACTGAAGAAAAATTTGAAGCTGATTATGTTCTAGCAAAAAACTCTGGACAAAATTAGTTGAAAAAGAAAAGTACAAAAATGAAATTGAGACAATTAATAAATATTTTGTCTACTACAATTTTACGTACACAAGTATGCTCATGGATGGGGCCCCTTGGACCGGCGCGGGTAATCAATTAAACCGGCGCCGAGCCGGTCCAGCAAAAAAATTGAGAAAGCATTAATTTTTATTTTTTATTGATAAATTAACCACAAATTATTTTACAATAACTGATTAATAAAAAACGAACTTTATTTTTTTACATAAAAAACAGAGGTAAAAAAGAACCTACAATAAATATTATTACATATAAACATAAAAAATCGGCCAAGTGCAAGTCGGACTCGCACATGAAGGGTTCCGCACGATCGTACAAGATTTAATACTATGTAGGTACTTTTTAAACTTTGCACACAAATTTGACATTTTGTCAAGAATTGTGAAAAATATCGAGTTAGGTACAAAATTATAAACTCATTAACTATAGATTTATATTTTGAAAAGGAAATATTTAGCAGAAGGTATTTAAACATACATAAAGAACATATCGATACCTTTTTGCCATTTGAACAAATGTCGCTTACGTTAGTCTGGCAAAAAGGTATTGATATATATTATTTTATATTGCAACACTCTCTCATCGCCAGTTTTTTCTACTCAATTATTCCTGGAATAATAAAAAGGGCAAGAGCTAGAGTCAAACGAACGCGGAGATAAGAGATATCTCATAACAGAACAATGCAACGTGACATGAAACATTACGTTTTTGTGGGTATGGGCGCTTTCGGCATGTACCTATATTTATGATTTACAGACTTACATTAATAAATAGATTAATAAATTGTGGCTTTTTTAATTCTTTTTAAACTTCAAATTGTTAAAAAAAAAAATTATAAACTGCGACTGTCGACGCTAGGACCAGCGCCTATCGGTGCTTGTAGGACCGGCGGCACCGGGAAATCTCCAACCGCCCCTGCTCATGGAGGAAGAAATAAGTAGATATTTAGAAATGCAAAACATTATTGGTTAAATATATGTATTTTACTAAAAAACTAGTATACCGGATTTCCTAAACATATGGCACACATTTCAGCAGATATTCCTTGGGTCAAAATATTAAATTAAGTTTTTTTTTTTAATGTTCAAAAATGCTGAGGCCAATAATTCCAGACATATTAGAGTTCTCCTAAAAATTGCAGGAGTGTCGTTTAATTTTTTGCACAAAAATGGTGGATTTTGCAATTTTCATAATTATTTTGAATCAAGCAACCAAAAATAGAACTTTGTTTTCTGTTTTTTTGTGTGTTTTGCTTCGTTTTTCGTCTCAAGGTAACAAGACTACATACTTCAAATATTCTCGCTAATACAACTATAAGCATTACATAATTTCCCTTTACTGTAAAAATGTACTTAATGGAGTTAGGACAATATTACTCTGGCAGGTGATATGTTTATTGAAACTTTTTTCATTTTGATTGTATACACACCATATGTATACTTGTTTTTAAATGAATATATTATTTAATAAATCTTTTACGTTTCTGAGTACCTGAACATTTATATTTTTCTCCATCCGCAATATATACACAAAGTTGAATCCATATGGGAATTTTTTATTATCATGATTGAAAAAAAAAAAACGTAGGCCAATCATCTCTGCTTATTTAAAAACTTAAAATAGCCCATATTAAACTCTCAGAGTAGTACAGAGAGGACAGCAAACTATTTTTTTGTCGCCTTGATATCGCATGGAAGATTCTAATTAGATTAATATCTCTATATTTATTTTTCCAGTTATTTTTAGATAATTTTTTAAGTTTTTACTTAAATTCGTTCAAGTATGGTGGTGTTAAAAGTGACTTTGATTTGTAGGGTTTATTTTATACTAGGAAAAGACTTGTGTTTTATGTGATTTTAAATATAAAAGAGGAAGTGAGGTTACGTTTCACTCGTTAATATTATTTCTTACCGAAGAACATGGGCGTCGTTTTAGGAGAAAAAAGGAAAATAAAATATGCATATTAAAAAAAAAAAATATTAGTGTTCTAAAATACGAATTAGAAGAAACTTATGATTAGAGGCACTTGAATGGACTGAAATGTTAGAAGTTGAACGAATATATTACATTTGTTCAATGCACTTTTTAGAGGACGGCTTTGCTGCAACAAATATATAAGTTTGTACGTTTCTAAATAATATCAAGAACTTTTAAAAATTGTATCTTTACTTTTTAGGAACTTTGTATTACACAAACAAAGTAGGAAAAAAGAGTAGTGGTGAACCTATGTCACCTAAAAAAAATTAGAAGGTATTGTGTTTAATAAATTTGGCGAACCAATAATATGTTTGAATGTTTTTAGTATAGTAATTTCTTCAGATACTAAATTATTTGATTATGAGCCTTCTTTAAGAGTATTAAATTTGCCAACAAATAAAAGAAGTTATAGTTTGAACAAAAGTACCTCATACACTTCAATATTAAGTTCAAGGTATGACTCTGAAATTCTAATCAACAAAATTTGAGTCACCATTAATTAAGAAGTAAATCAAACATT